TGGCGACAGTGATTCTCAGAAGAGGTATGCAGCATGGTGGATTGTGTCGCCAAGGAAATAGAGAATAGAAACGATAAAACATATTCATCATAACAGGGGCAGGGCAAACATATCTTCATCTCGACGCCAGAGCTCCATCATCAGAGGGTATATCCGGGTCAGATTAGGATATCATGGGGGTAATGAAATGGATGACAGGGAAAGGGTGGACTTTCCGATAAGGTGGCTGGGCTGAGGCAGCCGCTCATTCCGGCAGTCTCTCGGGTTCGGAAGACGTACCCGAGTGAACGGACTGCTCTAACCGACCATTATTGGAAAGTCCACACTGCCCTGTCGGTAGTCGTAAGCTAGATACAGTATATTTACATCGTTTACCGGTAGTCGCCCTTGTCGTACTCGCTACCGGGTCCACGGCGTTGGTCGTAGCGCTGTCGTGCTAAGGTTAGCGACTGGTCGCGTCGGGATCGTCACGTAGTTGGTTTACCTTGCGGAGAGCCTCAAGACGCTTCTTCTTGGTGTGCGTATTGACGTAGGTTCCAATGACGAACCCGACAATGTTGAAGAAAGGCACCCAGGTGTGCTCGGGGAGGAACTTCTGGGCAAAGGCCAGCGCGATGGGCGAGGTGACCCAGCTGACCTTCATGACGGGCATGAAACCGGCCCGCACGGTAGCGCGGACCTGGTGGAAGGTGCGCGCGCCCGCGATAACTGCCATGCAGCACAGGTACACGGCGTTTTGGATGGGGGAGACCTGCGTCGCGTCAGCATTCCAGGCGCACGTCAGAAGGGAGTGTCAGATCGAACATACCAACAAGTTGCTGGCGAGGATCTGCAGGATCTTGGCCTTGATGCTCGTCCGGCCAGCGAAGACCCGCTGCAGAATTCCAATGAGGAAGTGGCCCAGCGGGGCGCTGATGAACATTCCGTAGAGGGCCATCTTGGGGACGCGGGCGCTGAAGTAGTGACCGTGCTTGCTGACATCATGGGCGATCCACGAGGCCAGGATTTCTTGCAAACTGGACAGGACACCGGAGGTCAACATTTTGGTGCGCAGGGGGTTCGACTGCAGTTGGCGAAGGTAGAGCTATAATGGACGCGCATTGTCTCAATCAGTGGACTGTGAACACGCATCGGGGGTGCGATTACAGAGGCGCAAAACATACAGCGAGATAGCCATCGCCAGTCAACCGGTTTCCAACCTTGTGGACCAATTCCTTGGTATCCTCCCGTATCGAGGTGACGGCCTCGTCCTGGAACTTGGCAGACATTTTTGCTGATCTGGTGGGTGTGGTTGAGGGTGCGGGTGAGGCTGAAGGTGAGGAAAGAGAAGAAGATTAAGCGCGCGCGATATGGTCAATTAAGAAGGACGGGAGCCAGAAGATGATAAAGTCACGGAAGACGGCAGCTACGGAAATTACGGGACACGGTCAGCCAAGCCAGACAAGGGAGTGGGGTGAGAACCACAATGGAGATTTGGTGGAGATGGAAGAACGAGAGGAAGAGGAATGAAGTGGGTTTTGGGTTGGGAAAAGAAGGTAGGACGGACAGACAGACAGACAGAGGTGAGGTGAGATTTGAGATTAGGTGGAAAACATGGGGTTGGCGACGGAAGATGCGCTGTCCCGCATAGAACGGCAGGGAAAAGGAGGAGCAGGGGGGGGGGGGAGAGGGAAGATGAGATTGTTGGCTGATGGATGATTTGTTGATGGGCAGCAACAGCACCCGCCAGCCAAAACAACTAGTAACTTAACGAGGCTAAGGAACGAACGGGAACGAGTCAAGGGAAAAGGAAGGAGGCTGGTTTGTTCGGGTGGATGAGCCAAAGCTTACTTACCGAGGTCGGAAGAGTTCCTGAGCGAGTTGGAAATGAGATGCAGCAAACACAGACAATAATATGGGGAAGGTCAACGCGGATAAGAGCAGTTAAGAGACCCAGTCAATAATAATAATAGTTAATCCACGGATCAATTCAATGGATGGACCAACACCTGCCCTAAGCTGACAGGAGACAGGAATCTAGTTCCAACTTCACCAAACACAGCTAGTCAAGTCAATTCGACTAGTGAGTGAGTAGATAGTTAGTAGATAGCAGTGATTAAAGTATTGTTGCTGTTGGGAATGTGGAGGAGGAAAGCAGTCAATTATTAAAGACAATAATAATTTCACTGTCGGTCACTTCATCGGCAAATGGCGAATGTCGCCGCTTTAATACCCGGACCTTGGGCTGCCCGCCTTGCGGTCAGCTCCGACATGCGGGCAAGCATCTATCTTTAAGGGTTCCCATGTCCACCTTTCCGATGCCTCGCTAGATCTGCTATAATTCTCTGCACTTTCCAGGCATTATCTGAATCTGGAATATATATATATATATAGTATTGATCTCATTATGATCGCTTTTCAGGCTTATCTCAAAAATCCGGTATTTCCTGACGGTCTATACCCTAAGAGGAAAGGCACTGGCCCAAAAGGTGCACGCCGAGTGCAGCCAGGAACAGAGAATAATCGAGCTTAATTTCAATATATCACTCATCTTGGGTATTTTTCTGATTCCATATCTGCTCTGTGCAGTTCCTATCCACTAACAACTGCACAGGTAGAAAATGTAGCTCATATAATGCTGCTTATATAGAGATGAATGCTTCATCACAGCCCTAGGCCTTGCCTTTATGGCACTCCCAATCTGTAGGCCATGTGCATGTTAACCTAGCGCTCACAATGCTTCTGCTACCGTGCTGGCAAGCATCTAATTGCAAATGCTCGTTTGAAGCGTTTGAGTGCCGAGACAGTTGGACCCGGTCTTTGGTGAAGAGGCCTAACACGTCCACAATCTCACACGATGTCTCAACGAACACTCAGACGTGTTTCCTTTCCTCACAGGAAACTTTTAAAGCATCAGAAGTCATCCTTTGATTCTTCGTTTTCATCGTTGTATCATACCAGGTCATCTCAATACTTGAAGAATCATGTCTTCTAGGTTACCTGTGGACGAGGAGGAACGTCAGGAGAGCCCTTCGGAAAGGTCAGACTCACCACCCTCTCAGCTAGTCTTCCTCCCACCCCCCAATAGCGAGCCTTCTTCTGTGAGATGGGATCAGCATGCTACTTTCGAACCGGTTGTTGATCCGTTTTTCAACCTGGTGGCTCGACGAGAGGACGGCAAACCCCGTCTCTTCCCTCCGTTCTCGGGATGGAATGAGGACGAATCTAGAGCTTGCGGTGACCCCTATTGCAAACACGATGTCGTCGTTCATGAGCATGCACTTGACAAGCACGAGACATGCGAGTCCTGCGGCCTTGTCCCGGCGCTTGGTTGGTTCTATCGTTGTGGTGTAGATATTACCGGCTTCTCCCACCGCATGGATCCAGGCCAGGCCCCCGTCCTCAGTCCCTGGATATCCGACGCCATCAAGGCTGGTCACTACACGGAAATACAGAAGAGAATATTGATGTGGCAGAAAATTAGGGTCCTGCAGACAGTTGCCGCAGAACACTCCGAACATCTTATTGCTTTCCCTGTGACAGAAGTCATCTATGGCATAGGCAATGACGATGACGACGAGTATCCCCATGTGGATTTTGTCGAAGACGTCTCAAATCCCGATCCAGACCAGTTTGCCGAAGACCGCCCCTTGCTACAATCGTCAGTCTACCCTCCTTGCAGCCATCGCGCCTGCTACAGCTGTGCACCTCATCTTCAAGAACGAGCATGGGGCAGCATTAACGAGGTGTGCAGAGACACAGCTGTCAGAGCTCCCAGTCAGTGGGACCTGCGTGACCGCAGCATATCGGATGCAAACATTGTCAAGAACTTGGGTCTCCGACGTTTTTCAGCAGCACGTCCCGGAGCTGAATCAAGCACGTCGCTCGCTGAGGAGAGTAAATCACCATCGGCCCTGCTGAAGAAGCTTGTGGATAAGGCGACCAATAGTTCCGGTTCGTCTAAACATGCCAAACCGACTACCACTGTTCTTCCGGTTCTTACTACCCAAGTTGCTGGGTCCGTTGCTGGATGTTTTACCAACGCCCCTCCTACCGCATCAGGTGTTGCTCGATCTACAGAACCACTCGCTACTCCATCTGCTCAGCTAAGTACTCAGCCGTCTGCTGCACCACTCACCGCGCCCCCTCCGCCTCCGCATCTTGAAATTCCCGAGTGGCTCATGGCAAGTGGCAGTTCTTCTGGCTCATTTTCCACCAGCTCAGGCGCTAGGAACTCGCAAGCAGGGTCGTCGCAAGCAGGACAATCTGGAACGTCTCGACGGACCCCTACTATCTCACGACAGCTAGCGACGGCCCAAGGCGCATGGAACAGTATTAACAAGCATCCCCGCCGCCCGAATGTCAGTTCTCGCCCCCCGCGTACAATCGTTAGAGTCCCAGCAACCGTGAATGAGGAATACGAAGAAGATCAATGGTCCGGAAGAGGTCATGAAGATGAAGAAGACGATGTTGATGAAGACTACGACGAGGACGATGAAGATGACGAGTCGGGTGGTTGTCTCCTTGATCTCGCGTCTCGTGCAGAAGAGGACAGCGAACACCGTTCCTGAAGTAATGATCGACGAAAGACACAAGCGCCCACAAAGCAACAAATATTATTGGCATACAGCCAGAAAGGTATTCAGCCAGTGGTGACGGCAATCAAGTTGCTACTGCTATTACGATAATCCGCTCTTCGCGGGATGAGCACGGAATCTTAGTTCCTGCGTGAAAACTACTTTTCCTTAAGTAACTAATGTGGGGGTACGAAAATTTCCTTTTCATGTAATTTCTCATATTCCTGATCAGAATATGTCGACAGGTCAATCAATAATCAGCAAAAACACTTCTCTCAGTAACTAATTAATCATCAAAAATAAATGAAATGGAATGTCACTATCTAAGTGTTGATAATTGGGGATACTTACTTCAATATCTAATCACCATCTAATCTGTAAAAAACCCACACCGTCGGCATCCCCCCAACCGCGGCAGGTCCATCCATCCATCCACCAGGACCCATCATTCCGAGCCAATTCCGAACCTCGGCACCGCGCCAAGCGCAGCTGCTGGTCAGATGCTTGGATTGACGATCACGCTCGCTCTATTTCCCCCCATGACAATAAAGTCCCCGAACTCCCCAGTGTCCGCAGACCTCAGCAATGTCGACATAATCACCACCGCGAGAATAACCACCATGGCCGAACACGAACCCGAACCCTCTTCTCCACCCGCTGCTGTCGCGGACCACGAAAAACACAATGAGGGGAACACGGTGAGCAGTCCCCCGCAGGACGACTGCTCACCATCACCACCGCCGGTATCGTCAATAACCGGCGCTGGACGTCGCCGCCAACAGCTGCTGGCAGCTCTCAAGGCGACAGACCGGACAGTCGACCGGTTCGATAGGTGAGCTACTGCCTTCTCGCAACATTTTCCTCTCCTATCCCCCCCAAACCAAGCACCTCCGAGCTTCAATCCCACTAACTCCGACACCCCCCACACACAACAGACTCATATCCACCGCCGCCGGCCAAGAACGAGTCCTCGCAGTAACAGGCTACCTCGCACACACACTACACCATATTCTCTCCTCAGCACCATGGATCGCATTCCAAGCGCGTCTCAGCCTGCTCGCACGTCTACGCAACAACCCTAAACCTCCCACCACCACCACTACCACATCATCATCCTCATCCTCCTCCAAATCACCCCTCCTCGCCCTCTCCTCTCTCATGTCCGAAACCCGCTTCACCCTGCGCCTTCTCGGCCTCTTCCCCCTCTGGACATGGGGCTCTCAGACCCTGAAACACCCACCGGCAGATAAACCCCTCTACATCCTGACTCTACTGCAGGTGTTCGTGAACGTGATCTACCAGGCGCTCGAGAACGTGGGATATCTTGCGCAGAAGGGGATCGTGTCGAAGCGGTTCGTGGATCGGTGGGGTGGGATTGATAAGTGGTATATTTGGAGTACGAGGGCGTGGTTTGGACATATTTTCTTTCAGTTTTTTGTGCTTTGGAGGGGGACGGTGTTGAGGAGGAGGAAACAGATGGAGGAGGAGGGGGAGAAGGAGGGGGCGGGGGTTGTGGGGAAGGAGGAGAAGAGGGAGGCGTTGAGGAAGGAGATTCGGGCGTGGAGGAAGAGTCTCGTTAATAATGTTTGTTGGGCGCCGTTGTGTCTTCATTGGTGCTTTGAGAAGGGCATTGGGTTCCCCGAGCATTTGACCGGGTTGGTTAGTTTTATGGCCGGGGCTTGGGAGGTTTGGGATTCTTGGGTCGCTACGGGGTTGTAGTAGCGGATGGGATTGGGGTGGGTTTCATGTTGTATTGAGCGATTATAGCATATGGTTCTTTTTTTAACTCTAGTTGTTCTTGGCAGGGTGGTATACTATAGATTTAGATCGGGATGGGAAGACGGATAGTTCTACTAGCTTGCTATGCTAGGAAAGGATCTCATCTATCCATGTAATACATCCATTTATTTACCAAGCCAACACCTGACACCCGAGCAAGTCATAGTCGTCGTACAAATAGACAGTCTAGATCCTTCATCCGACCAAACGCCAAGTAACCAAGCCAGAACGTCTACTCGTTTGATCCATGTTCCCAGCAAGCTAGACCACCCCCTAAGCATTCGATGCCGACGTTCTCGCCAAATCGAACGTCGACGCGCGCTGAGCCGCAAGCATATTCTGATATATCTGGCTACACAATATTCCATCCATAGGCCAGGTATACAGACCCTGTTCTGTCGACGGAAGCTCATTCATCCCCTCGTCCACCTTTTCTTGGTTCCAGACGAACGCCCCCGCATCGACAATCCGCACACTGCTAATATCGTAGCCCTCGAACGAGTCCAGCTGAGTGACATGTGCCCGCACATCGACAAGCCTCATGAGCCCGCTCTCATATTCGTAGATCCGGTTGCGATGTTCTTCATTCAATCCGAGGATGAGCATCCCTTCGACTCGGTGCTGCGGGTCCTCTGAGGGCAGCATGACGGGTGTGCTGTCCGGGCCGAAGTGGTAGAGCTTGAACCCGTACACAGTTGCGTGCATCATGTATTTGGCGATGTCCGCGGTCTGCGGCATGTCGAGGAAGTATTTTAGTGCCGTGGGGAGCATGAGGACTCCGTAGACGAAGCGAGCTGCGCAGCCTGGCTTCTCGAGCAGATGGTTTACCTCATCGTCTGTCAAGGTGTTGTTTCGCGCTTGCAGGAAGTCCGAGGGGTAATCAGCCTTATCATCCATGACTTAGAGTTATTAGAGTGGGACAATTTAATCAAATAAGGCAAGCAAACGATCTATCAGTAGTAGTATCAGTGGTCCCCTGATGGAGTCTCGTGTTGCGTTGCGGGAAATGTTTCAGTGTGATTAACGTTCACTCATGGAGGGAGGTTAGCTAAAGAGATGGCAATGGATAGGTGATGGGTATATAGCTATACAAGGCCGTTAACAGAAACTTATATACTGATGGCCATGTTGGACAGGCTGTTGCTGTGAATACTCATTTGCTCGAGTCACCAGGACTGGTCAAGCTGTTGCCCCGGCGTGCAAACATAGCCCTGTGTGCACATAGCACTATATAGGGGAGCAGTATTCTGATGAACTCGCCAACTGGGCGGAAGACAGGTTCACACGGCTCTGGTCAGTTCGATGGTACATGTATACCCTTGTCTGCCGAATAGGGAAGTTCCGTTCATAGGCAGCAACTTGCCGGCAAGGCAGTCGCCGCCCACCACAAGGCTATTGTCATGACAGTGCCTTGGGCATGGTGATGCAGAGCCAGAGACAGCCTGGGCTGGTCCAGGCTGACTGATGCCATGCCCCGGCTGTCATAGAAGCACTCTGTGCATGCATGCAGGGAGGATAGCTGCCTCAGGCAGAGGTACAGACACAGGCACAGTGTTACCGGGCGGTGCAATGCACACGCATATCCCCGACAGTCACAGCAGAGTGAGGGGGGAGCAGCCACAGTGACTCATTTTGTGCAAAAGTATCATGGCTTATAAACCAACGATGGAGTAGAAACACTTGAATATTAGTTGACCCCAGATAAATACTAGTTAATTGTAGTAGTGGTTAGTTGGGGGACGATCAAGAGTGGATACGACCGGCTTCCATACGCTTCTCTCTCCTCCCCAGGCGGTGGCGGCAACCGGGTTTGGTGGCTCGTGAATCTGCAACAGCTTAAGTCATCAAGCCCCCGGTAGGGCCTGGCACTATCGTCACCTCTTAACTGGAGCTCTCTCTCTGCCATCCTCCGATCTCACTTCCAACTCCCTCCCCCTCTGCCATTTCATCTCATCCTGTCAATTCATTTCCCTCCCTCCGCCATCTCTTTCGGTCTGGTGGGATTTGTATCTCTGTTTCGTTTTCTTATCACCCTTCATTTTCCTCTTTGTCCCTGTTGCCGAGCTTCACCAAATCCGGTACAGCGACAGTCCTTGATACGTACCCAAGTGTCTACGTTGCTTTACGCGCCTTATCCAGCTTCCCCTCAAGATGAGCGCAGAACCCGATCACACCCACGACAAGAAGAGGGTGAACCTCCAGTACGTGATGGAACCTCTGGCATCAACTTCTCCATCGTTCCAAGAAGCTAACCTCATCGCACAGTGACGCCTCCGGCGCCGACAAGAAAGAGGTAAAGACTTTTGTCTGCAGAACGGGAAGGGACCTTGATGGCGAATACTAACAACCACCGCGAAATAGGAACTCGACACCTCGACGGCTATCTTGAAGAAGAAGAAGAAGCCCAACTCCCTCATGTAAGCTAGCTCTGGCCTTGGTGCGGGGATACTGGTTGGGTACTGACTGTCTGGGTGCTAGTGTCACCGATGCCGTCAACGATGACAACTCCGTTATTGCTCTCTCCAACAACACAATGGACACCCTCCAGCTGTTCCGGGGTGACACTGTCCTCGTCAAGGGCAAGAAGCGCAAGGACACCGTTCTGATTGTTTTGGCCGATGATGATCTCGATGATGGAAGCGCTCGCATCAACCGTGTTGTGAGACACAACCTGCGTGTCAAGCATGGCGATATCATCACCGTCCACCCCTGCCCTGACATCAAATACGTGAGTTCTACTGCTCTCCGCGGTATCCAGGCGACTTCTTACTGACCTCGCTTGTTCTCATTTACAGGCCAAGCGTATTGCCGTTCTCCCCATCGCCGACACCGTTGAGGGCCTCACTGGCTCCCTTTTCGATGTCTACCTCGCCCCCTACTTCCGCGAAGCCTACAGACCCGTGAGACAGGGAGACCTGTTCACAGTAAGAGGTGGTATGAGACAAGTGGAATTCAAGGTTGTTGAGGTGGATCCCCCAGAGTATGGCATCGTCGCCCAAGATACCATCATCCACTGCGAGGGTGAGCCGATCCAGCGCGAGGATGAGGAGGGCAACCTCAACGAGGTCGGTTATGACGACATCGGTGGCTGCAGGAAGCAGATGGCTCAGATCCGTGAGTTGGTCGAGCTGCCCCTTCGCCACCCCCAGCTCTTCAAGTCCATCGGTATCAAGCCTCCCCGTGGTATCCTCATGTACGGTCCTCCGGGTACCGGTAAGACTCTGATGGCTCGTGCTGTGGCCAACGAGACTGGCGCTTTCTTCTTCCTAATCAACGGTCCCGAGATCATGTCCAAGATGGCCGGTGAATCCGAGTCCAACCTGCGCAAGGCCTTCGAGGAAGCCGAGAAGAACTCCCCTGCCATCATCTTCATTGATGAAATCGATTCCATCGCCCCTAAGCGTGAGAAGACCAACGGTGAAGTCGAGCGTCGTGTCGTCTCTCAGCTTCTGACCCTGATGGACGGTATGAAGGCCCGCTCCAACGTGGTTGTCATGGCCGCCACCAACCGCCCCAACTCCATCGACCCCGCCCTCCGCCGTTTCGGTCGTTTCGATCGTGAGGTCGACATCGGTATCCCCGACCCCACTGGCCGTCTGGAGATCCTCTCGATCCACACCAAGAACATGAAGCTGGGTGATGATGTCGACTTGGAGACCATTGCCGCCGAGACCCACGGTTACGTCGGTTCCGATCTTGCCTCTCTGTGCTCGGAGGCCGCCATGCAGCAGATCCGTGAGAAGATGGATCTGATTGACCTCGACGAGGACACCATTGACGCGGAGGTCCTGGACTCTCTGGGTGTTACCATGGAGAACTTCCGTTACGCCCTCGGTGTCTCCAACCCCTCCGCTCTCCGCGAGGTTGCCGTTGTCGAGGTGCCCAACGTCCGTTGGGAGGACATTGGTGGTCTGGAGGAGGTCAAGCGCGAGCTCATCGAGAGCGTGCAGTACCCTGTCGACCACCCCGAGAAGTTCCAGAAGTTTGGTCTTTCTCCTTCCCGCGGTGTTTTGTTCTATGGTCCTCCCGGTACTGGTAAGACCATGCTTGCCAAGGCCGTGGCCAACGAGTGTGCTGCCAACTTCATCTCGGTCAAGGGTCCTGAGCTGCTGAGTATGTGGTTCGGTGAGTCCGAGAGCAACATCCGTGATATCTTCGACAAGGCCCGCGCCGCTGCTCCTTGCGTTGTCTTCCTGGATGAGTTGGATTCCATCGCCAAGTCTCGTGGTGGCTCTGTCGGTGATGCCGGCGGTGCCTCTGACCGTGTCGTCAACCAGCTCCTGACTGGTAAGTTAATTGTCTCGATGTACATGAGTAGTTGCTAACTTCCAAACAGAGATGGACGGTATGACTTCCAAGAAGAACGTGTTCGTCATTGGTGCCACGAACAGACCCGAGCAGCTTGATGCCGCCCTGGTCCGTCCTGGTCGTCTTGACACCCTGGTCTACGTTCCTCTGCCCGACCAGGCCTCTCGTGAGAGCATCCTCAAGGCCCAGCTCCGCAAGACCCCTATCGCTGGCGACATCGACCTCTCCTTCATTGCCAGCAAGACCCACGGATTCTCCGGTGCTGATCTTGGCTTCGTGACCCAGCGTGCTGTCAAGCTCGCTATCAAGCAGTCCATCGGCGCTGATATTGAGCGCCAGAAGCAGCGTGAGGCCCAGGGTGAGGATGTCAAGATGGAGGACGAGGAGGTCGAGGAGGAGGACCCGGTGCCGGAGCTTACCCGGGCACACTTCGAGGAGGCGATGAAGTCGGCCAGACGCTCCGTCAGCGACGTCGAGATCCGTCGCTACGAGGCATTTGCCCAGAGCCTGAAGAACTCGGGTGGCAGCAGCTTCTTCCGCTTCCCGTCGGCGGGTGAGGTGACGGACAACAACACGTTTGGTGAAGCCGGCAATGACGACAGCCTCTATGACTAGATTGGTTGCATGTTTCCAAGTTAGTTATTCATCTGCACTACTACTACTACTTAGAAACAGCGGGTTTTGAGGCCGGGATATAGCCCCGGTCGAAATTCGTATTGGGTTACAAGTTTCCTTTTCTTTTCCTTTCACGTTCTGAGATTGCGAATATCTGTCTCGCATACTGAGTGCCATAATATTAAGCTTAAAGAGTAAATGAATTGCACGTCTTGGTAGACAAACCCCCACTGTTGTACAAAAGAATGAGGCATGCATACATGCCCATGCTGGTATCAGGATAATGCAACGCCGTCCGTAGTAAACCACCAAAGCAACGCCGTAAGCAATAGCCTGACAAGAAGTATCCAGATAAACCAAACCAAAAACACCATACCAACACGCCAGCCACGAAACCAAACAAACCACCACACCACATCATTACAGACAAGTCACCCACATATCATTCATTTAACCTTACTCCCCGTCTTCGACTCCTTCTTCACCTTCTTCACCGGACTCGCCGTATCTCCCCCACCATCCTTACTATTCTTCGACCCCTTACCACCACTCCCACCACCACCCTCCTCCTTATGCCCATTCTCAACCTCCCCCAAAATATCCCCCCCATCCTCCGCAACCACCACCTCCCTCAACACCTCCTTCAACGCCCTAACCCCCTGCTCCACCACCGCCGACGGAATCCTCACATCAAACGCCTCCAGATCCCCAATGCCACTACTACCATCCTCATCCCCACCACTATTATTATTCCCATTGCTTTGTTGTTTCGCTTTATTCGCCTCCGCTAGGACGGGGTGTTTCCTCCCCTCCGCGGACGCTACTACCGCCTCGAATACCTCGTCGAATCGCTCGCATCGTCCGCCGCGGAGGAGTTCCTGCGCGAGTTTCCGGATCCGTTCTGTCCATCCGAGGCGTTGCAGTGAGCTGAGGAGTGTGGCGTGCAGGTCTTCGAGCGCGGGTGTGCTGGTTAGGTGCAGGAGGAGGTCGGATTCGAGATCGGTGGTGGAGGATGGGGTGGTTGTGGTGGGTTGGTTGGGGGAGGACGAGGAGGGCATTGTTGGTTTTGTGAAGTTGGAGTTGGTGTGGTGTAGGTGGTTGAGTCGAGGTGATGATGAGCAGCTAGGTAGGGTGGGCGCGGCGCGAAGCGGGAACCAGGTGTAGCGCTTGCGTTTTGTATAGACGGTGGTCACCCAGACAAGGGGGATAGAATAGTCCGAGCTAGCGCAACTGGTATATCGAAGTATATATATATAAATATATAAAACCCAAGTCGATAATAGCGTGCGACTTGCTCGTTCGAAACGAGAGGGTACAATATTCTGCGATCGCGATAGGTTAGCGGGTACTAACTACGGTTCTGGAAAAGATTGCGCGGGTTGGAGTAGCTTTCGCGGTGTCCATGGGGGCGGGAGGAGTTTTATTTTTTTCTGTGTGTCTTACCTGTCTGGTTCGCGATGTGATAGGGAGCGTCGGAGCAAGAGGTGTAAAGGTAGAGAAAGAAGGGGAGGAGGAGGGGGGTTTGAGGAGAGAACTTGGGGGCGAAGAATAATCCTAGTCCGGGGAAAGGCGAGCCTTGCGGTCGTCGGAGGTCAGCGCAGGAACCGCCGATAAGATGGGTTGCCGCTTTTGATTAGCGGGAATCTATATAGTAATGACCATGTTGAGAGGTCATGATATGAATGTGGTCAGGTCTTGTCGTTGATTTCTGGAGGGCTCTGGAATTGAAGATAATAGTATGATTGAATATGTGAAGTCCAAATGATAGGCTGTTCAGCTGCTGCTGCTGCACATGACCGCTGGAGCTCTGTCTTATGCGCACAACTCCTGCAGCCAACAAATTAGACACCACCCACAGAACTACTATCTTCGTTGAGCTCATCTATAATGAGCTATAACGATGATTCTGAGCTGATCGGACTTGGTCGAGTTGGACGCGTGATGCGCATCGGAGACATTGCAGTCAAAACGGCCAATGTTTGGACTGTCCCTAAAAATGCGTCCGAAGCGACGATTATCAGCTACGAGCAAACGACTGAGCTAAACAAGCAATCTCTAAAACATGAAGGACATGTGTATAGCCATCTTGGACATGTCGCAGGAGTAATAAAGCCCTATCACATCTCCGACACCGAGATTCGAATGCCGTACCTACGCCAGGGTTCACTGAGCCGCTATCTACGTACTCACCATGCTAGCGTGGACAACAGTCGACGCCTACAATGGCTCCAAGAAGCTGCACATATCATCCATAAAGTCCACGAGCGGCGAGTATTGGTAGTCGATATTGCGACACGCAATTTCCTGCTTGATGAGGATCTTTCTCTCCACATGTGCGATTTTACTGAATCTACTATCGTCGCGGATGATGAGGACATGGCAGATTTTGTTTCTGAAGACTTCGCTTCAGTCAAATCCGACATTGCGCGTTTTGGCTCGATGATGTACGAAGTTATCTCTGGAAAGCAATTTGAATTCTACGTTATACCCGACATCGAGACCGACCTAGATGAAGATCCAGAGTCGAAGACATATATAACCTGGCCGACCGACGACAAACTCCCAAATACGAACCCATTGTTTCTTGGGGATATCATCAAGCGATGCTGGACCAAGGAAGGATTCCTCATGATGCAGGAAGTTTGCCACGCCCTAGATAATTCCGGTCACAAAAAGCCAACGGATATTCTTAGGGAAGGTTAGCCGCCTGGCATCGCATCGCATCGCATCGCACTGCATTCTCCTCCCGTAGTTATCTACCATAGGGCGTGAATAGGCGCGCGCGAGAGAAAACGCGGGGGCGTATCCTGAACATGGCTATTCAGGGTACATCCGATATAAATAGCATCCAACGGCGGTTGGCGCATCGAATGGACTTTGACCAAGATGCAATCATTGCGCCGGGGTGGGTATATGGCTATACACATATATAGTATAAGGTACTTACGTAGACATACATAAATACATAAATACATAAATCCATACATACATACATACATATATACATACATACATACATGGGGCTCCACTATCCTCGAGGCACAAATAATCTCCCTCCCATTACTAGTTGCTGCATGTAAGCAACAAGGGAGGCAGACATGAACGATGGCTAGCTGGCTCACACCCACATGTTCGTGTAAGGTTTTTTGCTGCGAGATGCCAGGGATTGAGGTGTCACAACCGGATGGAAAAAAAAAAAAAAAATAGATACATGATTGCGGGATGGCTGGTTCTTAGTACTAGCTTCACAAGGGGAGGGAGGGATGTTGATAAGATGTACGAGGTAAGGCAGGTATCGTTCCGTTGTTCCGTCGTCCACATGCAATGCAGGATGGACCAGATCCGGGCGCTTAGTAGTTGCTTCCTTGATTCATGTGGACAGCGCACGGTGAGGGGGGTGAGGAATATAGTAGGGTGCTGGCTTTTCTCATGCGTGCGATATTTTGCTGTTACTTACTATGGATCGGAAATTTTGTCCCCGTCTGATGGGATCGGCGTGGCCGATGGAAAATCTCCTGAGTTGGTGAGTAGATACTATTCAAGTTATAGATTGTTTGTGTTATACTGCCGCCTCAATAGCGGCGGCTCAATAGTAGAACACAAGCGTGCAGTGTTGCTCCGGCTGCTCCACAGTTATTGAACCCGTTTGTATGAATTGTTCTCAGCTGCAACGGATGAATTTCGGTGGTCAGGACTTTAGACTCGGCCGTCGTCTACAATCTGCTGTAGAAATCGTATTATTCACTCCTACACATAGAACCCTCGTCGACTATACGTAAGCTCTATCTAGTATCTACTAGCTGAGGTGGGGATATCGATGGTGCAAATAGACTTCTACGGAGAGTCAGGCACACGGAGACAAAGCCCTTCGGCGATAGTATCCGAGGAAAGTTAAATATAGCACCGGCCATCCAAGCTCGAGTGGATTGGAGGTAAAAACTGCTAGGAAGAAAAAAAGGGGGCAAGGGAAGGAAGATGATGGAGACGAGTGGAAAAGAGTTTTTTTTCTGATGGAGCCATGGATGTCCTTGCATGGACATTCATCGACAATTCAGCGTCGAGATGGGGAACGAATGGCACGATGACAGCGGAGGATTCGGACCCAGATAGCATCCGAAAACGTCGAGGCTCCGGCACTATTGAATTTTGACAGCGCCTGGCTTGAATAATAGTGGGAATAACCAACCCCCCCTCTGTCCACTGGCCGTTAAGCCTGCCGGGCGATGCTTCTGGTTTGCATGAACCCCCATCGAGTCATCGACACTAGTAGCATTTGTGTGATAATAGTGCTGGTCACTAGGATGGGCGCTTCGTTAGTGTCCTCATTAATCGCACGGAACTTCAGCCAGGGGATGGGGCCCCGTTTCCACCATTTGTTCTTCTCAGTTTTCAGTTTTCTGCTTGGAGCAATTGTTTGGCGCTTGGATCCGGCGATGGCTCTCCTATTTTAATTAATTTTCTTCAACCCTGATTTTTTTTTCTGGGTGGACTATCCGCCTGTTGTCTGCGAGATGCGTCACCAAGTGATTTTGCCCAGCATCTGGGCTGGGAACGAAGCAAGGATGAGGGATCCATTAACGGAGCCAGTTACTGGAGAGGGGGTCGGATTGAGCCGATAAACGGCCGACAGTAGATTCGTAGATGCCATTGATCCCCATCATATGGTAAGACCAAGGATATTGACTTAACCCACTGGGATGATGATAAAATGGAGATGCCTGAACTGTCTAAGTAGAATGGATGGATGGATGTACAAGGAAAGTGAGCAGCGGAGAGTCCAGACCGGCATCACGTGTGGCGATCCAACTTTAGAAGCGCCTCTTGGTTTTCCCGTTCGGCGGTTCGTTGGACTCCGCGCCCAACCAGCTTCTTGTTCTGTTGCTCTCGTCCATCGCTGCCTCTCATCTGCCTGTGGATGTCCACCCTTTCTTCTTTTGATCACCCCAGTTCATCAGTCGCCCTGCCTCGTGGTCTTTGATCTCTCATTATTGTCGCCCAACCAGCTCTTCATCAACGAGGGTGTGTTCTTCTTCATTTTCTCCTCCCTTTTGGCACATCTCATCATCCGGTTGGACCCCCAGAACTTGGCCGAGCTTCCCCGCTCTCGCTGTCGCTGCGTGCCTTGTTGGCCTCAGGATCCCCCCTCCGCTCCTCTTCCATCACGGCTGCTTTCCATGCTTCCTCGTACCTTCGACCTCGTCTTTACGCCTTCTTCCTCTCCACTAGCTCTTTTCACATCTTCTCTCTCATAATAACCTCCGTCCTCCCGACTCTCCTCCTGATCAACTCCGCGCTTCGCACCTTCGGACCATCTTCACACTGTCGGTGTCCTCATAACTCACCCGCTTTCCGTCCCTCCCGTTCATGTGGCACGCCTGCTCGACCAAGTTTGGCTCCCAACACTCTTCATCCGGGTCGGTAGTCCGTGATTGACAGCTTCAAACGCCTTCTGTGCAACCGGACCCGTCCTTTGTGCTCAATATTTGGCGACTTGTCTCGGGTCTAGAGGCTGGCGCTTCGCTGAGTCTGCTAGCCGGTCCGACGTCCTCCCCAGCCCCCTCCTCTACGTGTCTCCGGGCGTCGTCACCGTTACTTGAATGAATTCATTCGCCATGTCTCTCCATACCTCCTATCATGCCGACTCGGATGCGGACGACGAGTACGAGCGCAGCGTGATTACTTCCCCCCATCTGGCCACCGACTCCGAGGCTTCCCCTTCCGAATCAGAATTCCCGTCAGCAGAGCATACTCCCACGACCTTAGCCAATGTGGACGAGAATCCCCGATCGCCCCGAACAATCATCACTGAATGGTCTGCTGAGGAATGTGCCAACTTTGTGGCCGCCCTTGGTCTCCGTCAATACTGCGCCGCGTTTTTAGGTGAGTCCAAGTGATCGAAACAAAGGCGCTAAGACGTCCGGGTCACTGACTGCGTTGTGTTTGTGTTTTACAACAGAAAACGAAATTGTCGGCGAAGCGCTCATTGCTTTGAAGCATGATGAACTCAAGGAGATGGGGATCGCGAGTGTGGGACATCGATTGACTATCTTGAAGAGTGTGTACGAAACGAAAGTCAAGCAAGATATTCCGATTGATGCAGATCACTACATTCCGCTTTGTATGTCCACTATTTTCCTTGTGTGCAGGTACTGCCTGTGACTTCCCTTGCTAATGTTTTTTACTTCGGCAGCCGCGGACCAAAGCATGAACGAAACCGCCACTCAGGACGATATTTCCCGGTTGATTCGGTCCATCCGCGTACGAGATGACCGTATCATGTCTATGGAGTCAGAAATGCGACGGATTGCCGAGGAATACCGTCGACTGCGCGAAGAGCTTCTGCCCGTGTTCAAGATGGCGAAAGACAAGTCGCAGCCGTTGCCCCCACCTTCTTCTGTGCCAGGATCCGGGTCAGAAGGATACCATGATGGCCCGACGCTCACATCGCCATCCGGAATTACTCTGTTGGATCGTTCTGGAAGTATCCTATCTCGGACCTTCTCCAAGCGGAACCACACTGGCGGCACTACGCCCAAAACCAACTCCCCTACCCATATTCCTCCGTCGATCCACGAGGGTCGCATGTACAGCGATGGGCTAGATCCGTCCACGGCAAATTCCTCCCACTTGACTATGCTGAACGGCAAGTCGCAATTATCTCCAGGCATTCCGTCCCCGACCTCGCCAGGTAATCAATATGCTCCACAGACCCTAGCCTCCCGGGCATATACACAACCGAGTTCCAGCAGCAGCATAAGCCATGTTTCTCATAACCACCACGACGATACCGCGGCGTCACAGTCGCGGCCGGATCGTCTAAACCCTACACCAACACAATCTACACGCCCCGACATCCCCACTCGCTCAGACTCAAGGGCGACTCAGGATCCACCTAGCGTGGAAATCTTCAAGTCTTTCCGCGTGTCGATGGACGATCCATGCCACAAGGTCCTTCCTGCTGCACTCAAGAAGTACAACATCAACGCCGATTGGAAACAATATGCACTATACATTGTATATGGTGATCAAGAACGATGTCTTGGGCTCGAAGAACGACCACTCATTCTGTTCAAGCAGCTCGAAAAGGAAGGACGCAAGCCCATGTTTATGCTACGGAAGCAGGTCCATCCCATCGATAGCGGCATGTATTCCGGGGGAGGGTCTGCACCGAATAGTGCCGGCTTTGAGGGAGGACGACAGGCACAGATCAATCTGCCCGGCGGCGTGCTGTGAGCAGCACACTGCAGCATTATTATCGATGGAAGCATCATCACGTTTAATTGTCGCTTGAGATACCCCCGGACCCTGACATGGGGTCGTTTCATTCCTCCCATTCTTCTCGATCTTCTCTCAAACCATTTATGCGGGCTTCTGTCCTTGTCTCGATTCATATCATCATCATCATCATCATATCAGCGGTGTTACGGTGTTGGGGATCCCGGAATAGGAAAAGCTCATAAATCAGCGTGGCATTTGTTGGGTTTCTCTCTGCACTACTATCTCTTCGTTCATACTGGCTACCTTATGTTTGAGTTCAAGACATACTACTCACTATTCTGATTCTCTGAACAAACTTATGCATACTTATATTGAAGCGAGCATATCTTCTCGAGTCTATTTATCGTTCGAGATATTTCTGTACTGACTGTGCCAGATCCTTTACATCCATCTGCTCTCTTTCCTAAACAGGGCCCATATTCGCGCAGGTCCACATAGATGACTTACTGCCCTGTGACGGACTTCCACATCCTTAGATGATAGATACCTAATTGACTGGTATGAATACGACTAGGAGCTCTACAGCCATCTATAATGCTGTTACTGAAAGTAGTTGATATACTGAGGTCAGCGTACGAGCTCTCTTGTCCGGAAGTCGAGTCCAGCTCTACGACTTCAATTGGTATTATACTATTGAATGGGCCGGCAATCCTAAGATTCACATGCAAGGTAGTCATGTTTTTACAACCAACATTGCGAAATATATATGAATTGCTATATAAATATTTCGATATATATTTCGTACTGACGTTTAGACTAACATGCTATGTACTATACATGTGACTATTTGACCTTGAAGGATACTACGTCACGTAGGTCATAGACATGTTAGTAGTAGTAGTAGTAGTAGTAGTAGTAGTAGTAGTAGTAGTAGTAGTAGTAGTAGTAGTAGTAGTAGTAGTAGTAGTAGTAGTAGTAGTAGTAG